TCAGCCCGCGCCTCCACCTCCGACAGCGATGCAATGAATCGCCACTGAAAAAAGGCACCAAATGCCGAAAAATGGCAGTTATTTACAATTTATTAATTTCATAGAAATGCATTGATTTAATCAACAATGGTTTGCCTATTGGTACGCGAAAGTGCCCTTTTCCAATTTAACGAGTCACACACATACACTACACACTCCCCGTATTTTGGGGACTTGTTAGAAATAATCAACTCGTTTTTTTTTTTTTGCCCCAGTTGTTAATTAACTGACGATGCCGCTAATTCACTTATGATCGTGCTCTGATTTTCATTGATGCTTCTCGGTCATTCGTTGATAGCAAAATCGTGAAAAAAATGGAACTTCAAACAAGAAGATGACACGAGTTTGGGCGTCGCCGCACGGGACGCGAAACGAAAAAAGAAGCGAGTGCATCTTCCTGCAGAAAATGGCCAGGTTCACCAGTTTGCTATAGATAGTAACGAGTGTATTTTGCTACCTTTCGTGGGCAAATGCACTCGTTTCGTTTTCGTTCCGTGTGTCGTGCGGCGAGACCCTTTTACTTGTCATGGCGACACCACCTCCTCCCCAACACTCCTTGATCACAACACCATCATCAAGGATACCGAACCCTTCTCGGGCAGTTGTTGATGCTTAACCGTAACTGGGGTTAAGGTGGATTATCATTATCAGTCTAGTATCATCGGTGGGGGGAATTTGCAGACTGTCGAGGGGGTTTAGCCTTCTGATGAGTCAGTGAAACTCCCACGGAACAGTCTGTGTCAGAGACCCTCGTTTGTTTTCCTCTTCTCCGTTAGTCTGTTTTGAATTTCATCCAAGGTACCTTGAGGGCAGTGGTTGGTGGTCCCCACCACCTCAGGGTATCACTTGTCGGGCAGTCGTTGATGATGCTTTAACAACAACCGGGGTTAAGGTGGATTATCATTTACAGTGTAATCAGTTAGGGGATTCTGCAGACTGTTTTTGAGGGTTCAGCATCCTCCTGATGAGTAGGGAGGTGAAACTCCGACGAAACAGTTTGTCACAGCCCCTCGTTTGTTGTCCTCTTCTCCCTCTCTGGCAGTTCTATTTGACGATATATACGATATATACACAATACGTACTGTTTCATAAATGTAATAAATATATATTAATCATTATATTATATATTGTCACATTGTGAATCAGAGCGCAAAAAAGGGAAAAGAAAAAAGGAAAAGGAAAAAAGGGAAAGGGAAGGAGGTAAGGAAAGCTCCACCTGTNTATTGTCACATTGTGAATCAGAGCGCAAAAAAGGGAAAAGAAAAAAGGAAAAGGAAAAAAGGGAAAGGGAAGGAGGTAAGGAAAGCTCCACCTGTTCATAACCTCTTACGTACAAGGCCAGCCACGTGGATGAAAAAAGGGGAAAGAAAAAAGGAAAAGGAAAAAAGGGGGAGGGGGAAGAGGTAAGGAAAGCTCCACCTGTTCATAACCTCTTACGTACAAGGCCAGCCACGTGGATGACAGGTTGAGCGCTGGCTGCCCCCATCCCCGTGTGTCACAAGGACCCACTTGTTTACCTGCCCCCACCTCGGCAGATAGGACAGCTACGGTGAGGATGATGTGGATATTCACAAGGATGCCCAAGGAGAGCTGCGCCAGCACAGCATTCTGCAGGACGGCTAGCACGAACCATYCCATCAAAACAGTCCTGACAGAGGACGTGTTGTCCACATGTCAAAAACACGGCAGGACGTTCATCACAGTGCGGCATCATACAGTTCTGATAGCGTCCTTGGGCACAATAGGGACAACGTATATCTGGGTGATRGSGATGTRYACAATRAGGAAATGTTGGACACCCTTCAGGACAGACGGCGGCAGTCGCAATAGATTGATAATGGCTATGGCATAGATGATGCATTCCACAGCCAAGGCGCACCGCGTCTCTGTCCCGACAGGTGTCACACGAGAGTCGGTCAATAATCCAGAATAAAGTATGATTCGACAACACGTCGAAAATGACCTGACTCATCGTCCCACCATCCCACAGTTCCCACTGGGCAGCTGCACGAATGAGTGCCATATAATGCCCGGGTCTGTGTAAAATACAGGCAAAAATATGAGGATGGTTATTGAGGTCATCGCCTGGCGTCGCATGATGCATAAGAAGGTGGCGCCCGTAAAACGCTAACTGTAAGACATTTACAGTAAAGCCTCCTGAGGTAGTATAGTTACTACCTTCTGCGGGTGGACTATTATGGTCAGGCAACAACTGATTTTCAACAGCGTCAAGCTGGTACGCAATCGTAAGAAATTGGGATGCACTATAACGTTGACGCTGATAAGCCTGTAGGCAGACATTTGTGGCTGTCAAACCACAAGAATTTGGTAGGTCTGCCCGCAGATCCGAATCGGTCACCACTGGAAAGCCAGATGTGATCTGGCGGGGTCGGCGCGTAAAAGACGAACGC